TAAGGGGAGGGAGAGGGAGGAAGAAGAAAGGAAAGGATGAAAGGAATGTAGGAAGGAGAAAACGAAAACACACATACATACTCATAGAGGGAAACAGAGAAAAACAGAGAAAGAGATAGAGAGAGAGAAAAAGAGAAATAGAAAGACTGAGAGACAGGGATGGAGAAATAACTGACAGAGGGAGATAAAAAGAAACAGAAACAGAAACAGCCATACAGACAGACAGACAGACAGACAGGGACAGCGCGACAGAAAAGCGACGGCACCCTCCCCCTTCCCCACCCGGCCGCGCAATGCCACTGCAACGGGTGGATCGCCGTGTTTATTTATATTACCCTCGTATTGATTGGTTCCACATCCCAGGTAACCATGGCTCCATCCCCCCCCTTCCCCCTCCCCCACACGCCTCACGCCTCTGAGGTGGATGCGGCATGGGCGGGTGTGGGGGTCCGTGAGGTCCTCCACTTACCCCTTGGAAGGACGGGTGAAGGGAGGTAGGGACGGGGAAAAGGGTGGGGGTGGAGAAGGGAAAGGGGAAAGAGGGAGGAGTACGGAGGGGTAAGAAGGAGGGAGGGGGAAAGAAGAGCGAGAGTAAGGAGTAGGGAAAAGGGGAAAAGAATGATGAGGAATGCAGTAGAAGCGACGGTTTGTTGGGGGACGAAAACGGGGTAGGAGGGAGAGGAGGCAAAGGGGAGGAGGGGAGAAAGGTAAAGAGGGGAGACACAAGAGATAATAGCAAAAGAGGGGAGAAGGAAGAACAAGAAAAATGAAGTGCGTAGAGAGAGGAGAAGGGACTAGGGGAGATGGGGAAGGGGAAGAAAAAGGGGAGTTAATATGACAATCAATGAGCTCTTTTTCTGCCTCGTGTGGCGTGGAGATAAGCGTCTGCGATGTATGCGTATGCAAATGAGGCTTTTTGGTCCATCTTCTGTTGTTTTTTACTGTAAAACATCAATAAAAAACACTACACCAGATATAAAAACTAACGAATATTTTAAACAATGGGACTACTTGGGTAAAAAACTGATTTATACTTTTTTTTCTTTGAAGTGAGGCAGATGATGAGTCAGAGTAGTAGTAATAATAGCTGTAGTAGTAGTAGTAGTAGTAGTAGTAGTAGTAGTAGTAGTAGTAGTAGTAGTAGTAGTAGTAGTAGTAGTTGTTGTTGTTGTAGTAATAATAGAAGTATTATTATTATTATTATCATTATTATTATTATTATTATTATTATTATTAGTAGTAGTAGTAGTAGTAGTAGTAGTAGTAGTAGTTGTTGTTGTTGTTGTTGTAGTAGTTGTTGTAGCATTCATCATCATCATCATCATCATTCATCATCATCATCATTCATCATCATCATCATCATCCATCAATATTATTATTATTATTATTATTATATATATTATATTATTATTAGTATTAGTAGTTATTAGTAGTAGTAGTAGTAGTAGTAGTAGTAGTAGTAGTTGTTGTTGTTGTTGTTGTAGTAGTTGTTGTATTAGTAGTAAAAGTAGTAGTAGTAGTAGTAGTGGTAGTAGTTGTAGCAGTAGTAATAGTAATAGTACTAGTACTACTAGTAGTAGTAATATCAGCACCAGTAGCAGCACCAGTACTAGTAGTAGTAATAGTAATAGTAGTTACTGTTGTTGTTGTAATTGTTGTAATAATAACAAAGCTGAAGCATCGAAGACAATGGTGATGATGATGATGACGATGATGATGAATGATAATGATGATGAGAAGGAATAGAATGAGGTAGAGGAATAACTAGGTGGAAAACATCGAGCAAATAAATCGACGGTAAAAGAACACAACGATGTCTAAAAATCGAAGGAGAAAAATCTGAACCAAAGACTCTATAAGCGGAAAAAAAATAAAAACGAGAGAAGATAAGAAAGAGAGGAAAAAAAGAGAAAAGCAATGCAGAACAACCTCCTGAAAAGAGACGAGCGTAAAGGGAAAACGCTAAATATTCCCGTTTTCTAAGAGGGTGCTCCGTTTTCTTTAAGCTCTCCCTCTGCTGTGCACTATCTACGATTCTTTTTTTTTTTAACCCCGGCCGCTGAAGTGATTTTTCCATCCGAACACTTCTCCCTCCTTTTATTGCGCTTGTTTGTCGCTTTATCTCGAATTATTTATTCGTTGAGCTGCTTCTTATTAATCGAGACTGCTCCTTCCGTCATAACAAGTTTGTTTTATCATTTTAGTCTCTCTCTCTCTCTCTCTCTCTCTCTCTCTCTCTCTCTCTCTCTCTCTCTCTCTCTCTCTCTATATATATATATATATATATATATATATATATATATATATATATATATATATATACATATATAAAACACACACACACACACAATGTATATATATATATATATATATATATATATAATATATAATATATATATATATATACATATATGTGTGTGTGTGCGTGTGTGTGTGTGTGTGGTGGGTGTGTGTGTGTGTGTGTGTGTGTGTGTGTGTGTGTGTGGTGTGTGTGGTGTGTGTGTGGTGTGTGGGTTGTTGTGTGTGTGTAAGCAACGTAGGAAACTGGACAGAGAGAGAGAGAGAGGAGAGAGAGAGAGAGAGAGAGAGAGAGAGGAGAGAGAGAGAGAGAGAGAGAGAGAGAAGAGAGAGAGAGAGAGAGACGGAGAGAGAGAGGAGAGAGAGAGAGAAGGAAAGAACGGAAACGGTAAATAATGCCATAGAAAACGGGAGGACTCCAGCTTCGCGAGCGCCCCGTCGCCATTACAGTCGAAACGACGGAGGTTTGCCATAAAGGGCAACTTTATTTCGCCGGAATCGCATTATAGGCCTACGTAATGACTGGCGCCGCGAATTATAAAATCGTCATCACACAACGCGGTCTGTTAGCCGGGTATCAAAGCCGAGGGAAATGAGAAGAGCCGGGCCGACGTTGAGTGAATAGGATCATGGTGATGATGCCCACTCTAAAGACAATAATAACGAGGCTGATAATGAAAATAAAAGTGATGGCAATGATAATAACATCGTAAATGAAAATCATAATAATTCGACCCAGCACCAACGTCAAAGAGGAGGATGACAATCGAAAGGTAAGGAACAGCTCATGTCACTAATTGAAGGTCCATTAAAAAAGAAAAGAAAAGAAAGAAAACAGAAAGGAAAAAAGATAGAAAAAAGTAAGAAAGAAGAAAAAT